TAATACATCCACGTGCAAGGTATTAATCTCTACCTACTTCCAAAACCAGGGGTCTCCTTACAGGGTCGGTGTCCACGTCCATGTCAGCACTGTACTCCGTGCCACTGCTGCTGCTGATGGACATGGCCACCACGGCGAGGTTGAGATCTACATAGGAAAGCGACCAAATGTAAAAACAATACACATATTTTCTTATGCCAGATCATGCCGGTCTGACCTAGCTTAATTATCGAGGCGTTAGTACCTCGTAACATGCATTTCTCACCTCCTGGCTCTGGCTGTTCCCCGACAGCAGGTGCAGCCTGCGCTGCTGGAGGAGGTGGTGGTGGTGGTGGTCCAGTAGGAGGACGGCCTGGAGGTAGAGGCTCCTGCTCCGGGCCGTGTTGGGCGCCTCGTCCCCGCCCTCGGCCGTGACCGGGGTTAATGCCTTGCCGAGCACATACAAATAGAAGGCGTAAGGCATAGAAGCATAGAGTGACGACACCGCTAATACTCGGAGAAGGCAAACTCGCAACACTGTTTTTGTGCGGGGTGGGTGATCATGATCCATGCCGATTTTTTTTCTGCTACGCTGTCGCCTTAGGTATCATCCAGAAAGTACATTCGTCAATGGCCGTTATAAAATATAAGTATAAAATAGTAGTGGCCTGTGCAAGCTCCCGTAGCGCCTTATAGCTAGGCAACATCTTGCCTGCACTGCGTGCGTGTATTGCGGGGTGGCCTACCCGGAGTCTCGCAGGCGCCGAGCTCCCGTAATTTTTAGAATAAATCTCAGTAAAAACAGATCTACTTTCTGGACGACCACTTACGACCACGTGTGAGTATGCAACCCGTCCGCACACATGATCCAGTATACGAAGAAAAAAAGATGGTGCGGTTCACCCATGGCCTACCATGTGGCTGTCCCGCGACAACAGGTCCACGTAGCTGGCCTACCATCTGCACTCGTGGAGGAGATGGTGGTTGTGCAGCAAGTGGATGCTCCAGGTTGGGCCGGTCGTCCACAAAACGCCCTCGCCCCCGACCGAGAAATCGTCCTGCAAGGAAAGTAGAAATATAGGATACAACTCAAAGATCATAATTAAATATCGACATGAAAACAATACAATCCCAATGTCCCAACGAAGCCAAACTATCTTCGCCACCCACCTCTATGCCCTTGGAATGCAGGCACTGGAGCTGCAGGTCGTGGTGCTGGTAGTTGTGGTGCTGGTAGTTGTGGTGCTGGTAGTTGTGGTGCTGGTAGTTGTGGTGCTGCACGTGGAGGCCGTGGCACTGGCAGTTGAGGCCGCAGCAATGGAGCTGGAGGCCGTGGCACTGGCAGTGGAGGCCGTGCCAATGGAGCT